TAGCATAATAAATCAATCAATCAATATGTCAATAACTTATCCTGTTGAAGGAGTTCATTATTACTATTGTTGAGATTCATTTACTATTAGGCGAGCACTTCCATTAAAACAATAATATGTGGATCCCTTAACCACTGCATGAAAAATCGGATAACCAATATGCCAATAACTTATTCGGTTGGCGAAGTTCATTAGTACTATTGGCGGGCATATCCCATCATTTCCATATCTCTTAAGACAATGCCTTGTCTATCATATGAAATGATTCCCGATTTATGTTTAGCCTTTCTAAAATCACCTAGTGTAGACCACTCCGTTGGGGAGCTAACACTATTGATTTTAGATTGAGTGTGTAACGTTATTAATGCTCTAACGAAAAATAAAACATTAAATATGTTGTCATTATAATCTAGACTCTTTAAATCATGCGTAGGGCCTTATTTTTAAAGATCTAATTACAATGAACATTTAATATTTTTTATTTTTATGAGACAACCATTCTTGTAATATTAAGACTCTTCAAATCATGCGTGGGGCCTTATTTTTGAAGATCTAATTACAATGGTGTTAATAACGAAGGCCATGGGGCAATGTATAAAAATCCCCGCTCCCACTCAATTTTTTTTTAATCATTCATAATTAGGGTTTTCATTTTATTCATTTACATGATATAATGCATGCAAAACGTCTTGATTTTAATCCAATTAAATTTAGAAAAAATAATTGGACTTTTAAATGATTCACTAATATTTAATTGGAGGCACACTTTAAAAATAATTTTCAAAAATAATTTTTCGTTTCCCAATAAGTGCCCTCAAATTAATTAGTAATCAGATCCACTTAATTTTCATAATTTAATTAATATAAATCAAGTCATTTAATTAAATATCATGGATCCAATGCATGAATAATAATTAATCAACAATTATCTATTACATGCATCACATACATCAATAAATGACAGATAAAGCAAATAAAAACGGCCAATGGAATCAGCTTTTAACGTTTAATTGCTCTAAGTATTGCGCAAGGGTCAATAAAAAACTTGTGAACACCTGCAGAGGCTTGTACGCGTTCGAATTGGTCAAAACAGCACCTGGAATAGCAAAACAGCGCTTGGAACGCGCCCGGAGGACCCCGCATGCACTGGAAAGCGCCTGAGGGATGAAGCAGCGTGTGGCACGGGGCCCCACGCGCTCGCACGCGCCTGGAAGGGGCTGCAGCGCGTGGCACGCGCGTGGACGCGCCTGCATGCGCGCGTGGATGTTGCAGCTTGGTCTGGTGCGTGCTAAACACGCGCCAGCAAGCTACTGGATATCGGCGCGTGCACGCGCCGGAAGGTTCTTTGGTCTGCGTCCCTTGGCGCGTGATGTTCACGCTCCCCTTCATTGGGTGTAGCTTGAACTTGTCATGTACCTGCGCTACATAGGATCCTTTCTCAGCTTCCATAAACTGATCCAATGGTTCATGATCCGGTTGCAATAAAAGCTAGTGTACCATGCTACACTGGATCAACAGACTTTATTCCGGCGCCATTCTTGCCGTCGGCAACACTCCGGTCGCCGGAAAATCGCCGAAAATTTTCAGAAAATTATTTAAAAATTCCAGAAAATATAAATTTAGCCCAAAAAATTCCAGAAAAATTTCGAAAAATTCCAAAAAAATTCCAGAAAATTTCTGAAGCCTAATTTAACCCTTTTGGACCTTCTTGAAGCTTCATAGCACCCTTTGATGAATATTACATGGCTTTAAATAAATTTACAACTTGAAATATAATGAAAAAAATTAAATTACATCATTGAACTTTCAAACGGCTAAATCAAAGCCTTAATTACATTCATCTAAAGATAAAATTACATTCCAATAACCTATAAGCTTCATCCATGACCCAAACATTCATCATCATTCATTCACAATTATACATACATCATGATCATATAATAATATAAACATATGCATATATAAATTTGGATCCATGAATGATGGTTTTCATAAAATCATGATCTCTAGTAATGAATCAAACCATGCTCTGATACCACTGATGGGAAACGTGCAAGTTTTTAAAATTTTTCGAGGGATTTTAATTCATAGATCTTGATTTATTACATAGAGACAAGTTTTATGCAAAAATAAAACATAATATATCATTCAATTAACAGATTGAATACTTACATCAAAGGTCTGAGTAAACCTTTAAAACTTTCCTCTAAAGTGAATGTTCTCACTTATTGTAGATCCCTTAGCAAGATGCCTTCTCTTTGGATCTCCATCTTCTTGGTAATTGTTTTGCCTTTAGGAATCACTCATAAGCCTCCATGAATGACCTTGGAAAAATAGGCTTGTGGGAGCCTCCATTAGATGAGAATATAAACCCTAATTTTCTAGAGAGAGAAAATAAATTCCTTTTTCCTTCTTCCAAAAATCACACCCAAAATATACATAGACCATGTATATTTATAGGCAACATAAAAATAAAGAAAAGGAAACAACAAATCCTTCTCAATCTCTAATTCATATGTCTCAAATCTAATATGATTCCAATATCAAATTGGGCTATGAGTGAGAATCCATTGGGCCTATTATTTTATTGGCTACAATGAATTAATAATCGGCCCGGTCCATGGACCCAATTCAATTAATTCATAAATTAATTTCTACTCCACTAAAAGAAATTAATTGAACTTCAATTAAATAATAAATAACCTCTAAGTCAATATTACACTTTGACCCCTCTATTTTTAATTAGTTATCGGATAAATAAAGCTATCAATCCGACTACTTAATTAATATATTTATTTTGATACCATTGATTATTTCTGGCTCGATCACAATAAAACATTTGTTTGACAAAAATAATAATTTAAATAAATAAATATAAAATAAATCATTTTGTCTAAAAACACACGAAGGCCTTCGAATTTACTTTGTGATCAACCATAATCAATACAAAATAAATACAAGTAGTAATGATGCAAATATTGAAAATATAACCCTCTACCTATTAATCACATAACTGCCCAAAGTGTCGGTCTAAGGATTCCGAAGAATCCGCCGAACAAATCAAAGTAATTATTAATTAATAAAAGAGTCTATAATTTTCTCATGCTTAAGAGTCAAATGCCATGACGATGATAGGGAGCAATTGCATACGACGGCTCTCGCAATATATCTCAACCTAACGCGGATCCAGTTTAAATCTTAATTAATTATGAGTCCATCCATAATTACCGACTATGAACCATTTATGATTACTATTTATATATCATACATTGATTGCCATCACATACATATATATAAATATCTCTTATAATCAAATGGACACTATCAATTCTATAATGAATCGAAATATAATACATTGAATTCACCAATTGTATAAAACATAAATATTTCAGAAACGTCAGGAGCATATGTCACTTTAATCCAAACAGGAATTTGCTATGCCAGGGCATATAAATCCCAATAATAAGAAATCAAAGATTTTAAAGAAAAAATTCTAATGAATGAGAAAAATAAGTTAAAGTAATTTATTTTTAATATAGTTATTCAAATTAGTGAAATATAAATATTCTGCTTTTACATACATCAAAGTTCTGAAGGGAATATGAAATATACTGTTTTAATATCATAATTAGATATAGATGACAAAAAAATTGACAAACTGTCGAATATAAGCAACTAACTTCTTGGAATATTTTGAAAATATTGATGGATTCCCCTCATGTAACACAGACGTAGATTAAGGGTATGGATAAGACACAACACTGGATATGCACCAAGATTAAAATTGGTAGAGCTTGGACACGGAGAGGATACAATAGCAATAAATATCTTTAATTTTTATGTATGCTATACAGAAAAATTGCATGACTCCTATTAATTTCCTAAATTTCTATATTAAAAATTGCATAATGTGGAAGTAGAAGTTCGACAAATGTCATTATATAATTTTATTTTGGATACTATTATTCTTCAGTATTTCAAAGTGTCTATTGCATGCTTGACTTGTGGTACCCTTGTGTACGATATCAAAAGTTTTCTTCTATATCTTTTCTTTTCTGAATAAACATGTTGGATGCTTTAGGGTGTGTTCATCCTATATTTGGGAGTGTTGGATGTTGTTGTGCTACGGAGGTCACTTTATAGAACTTTGGAATTTTATTATTGCTCAGCCTATGGATCACTTTGCTTCTTGGACTAAACTTGATCTAAAGCAGCAATTTCTGAAGGGTGATTAACATTCATCTCATTAAAGATAATGCTGAAATTTTCTGCTAAAAACATCCCATCTCACAAAGTGATAATTTTTGTTGCCACGGTAATGTTTGAGAAAAGCAGTATCCTTGTCCCTAGGAAAGCTCATCAGATTGAAGATACTATACCCATATCCTAGCAAACTACGTTATGGAATGCATGTGTGGATTTGATACAAATTCCATTCCAGATAGCTAAATTAAAGAATTCAAAATGCTTGTACTTGTATCAAATTTAAAGGGCAGCTGGTGACTTGGTTCTAGTTACGCATCATTATTCATATGCTGGTTAAAGGCAAAATGCTCTTCCAATTATAAATTTTCATCCTCTACCAGGCCTTGAACCCTTGCCATCAAGTTTGGAACATACCCAAGAAGACACAAGGCGGCTCGGTTCATAAATCTTAAAATACTTTGAGTAGAAAAACAGATGATAATGACAGCGAAAAATAAAATGATCAACTTAATTTAATGTTCTAACCACTTGCAATTATAATTACTTCATCACATTCCCATTGTGCAATTTATATAAGCTTACTATTACCATACTGATTTTACCATGTTTCTGTTTTAACTGCTGAACATAAAATGAATCATTTTATGAATTGATCCTACTTTTTGTAGTTCTTATGCATAACTTGACTCATTTTTTTTTTTTTATTTTATCCTTTTGCATACGTTTAGACAATATCAGTCTTTGCATTATATTTGTGGCGTATGCTCATAGAAAATCTGTTTGGCTTTATTCAGATCGGACATTGCCTGGAAGGATGCCAAATATGCTCAGATTTGGGAATATCTCAGAGATGAATTTGAATTAACTCAGAGATTTGCAAGTCTTGATTTTAAATTGAAGTTTGTGGAGGTACAGTAGTGTCTTTGCCGTGGATTTTTTATTTTATTTTATTTTTATTCAATATTTGAACCAGTTGCAGAATTGCCTTTTAGTCGACATGAATGTTGTGGTGGTGACATTTTGATAGGGTACAGTAGTGGCTTTGCCGTGGATTTTTTTTTTTTTTTAATTCAATATTTGAACCAGTTGCAGAATTGCCTTTTAGTCGACATGAATGTTGTGGTGGTGACATTTTGATTCTTTGTTGCAGCACAATATTCGGTTTCTTCAGGAGATCCTTCAGAACAGGAAATCAGATTTTCTGGAATGGCTTATTATCATATTGATAGGTGTGGAAATTCTCATTTCTGTTTATGATATTGCCCATAAATCTGCAATTACTTCTCTATGACCTAGCTTCCAGTGATGCTTGAAATTGTAAACTAAGTTTCAGTTTTGATTGATGGCAGAATTGCTGTATGTATACCCTCAAATACTGTATGTTGTAGATTGAAAAAGTACAATAGTTATCTCCTCTGAAATTTTTGGTAATTAATCTCCCTTGTGTAGTGTTCAACGACACACCCCCAATAACATGCTCGTTGCGGAGCTTGAATACTCAACCTCTCTTTTTTGGGTGGAGAGATCATACCATCCCGTGGTAACGAGAATACTCAACCTCTCTTTTTTGGGTGAAAAATAGTAAACTGTGGTGGATATAAAATTCCTGTTTCTATTATTTATTTATTTTTAAATGAAAAGAATACTATTTAGGCGTTAATATATTCCAATTGACCCTGCAAGTCCTACTTGGTCGGCCAACAAATCATTTTACCAATGAAAACAAAAGCATTGGTAGCATTTTTCTAAAAGGAAAATGCGTTACCAGCCCAACTTCAACTAAAGCAAGCTGCTTTAGGCCCAACACTTCAGTTGTTGAAGTGTTGGGCTTTTTTAACCAGAGGAGAAGGTAATGAAAATTATATAATAATGACAAAAATGTTGTATTATAATTAATGAGGTAAGAGAGTAATTTACATATTGTATTTTTTTTTCCCTTACAAGAAACTATTAGAATTTGGCTTATTTTGTTCATGTCTGAAGATTAATGAAGAAATGTTGGTGGTTTGTGTATTCGAGATTGAAAAAATATTTGATTTGATCCATTGAAATCCGTTTTTGCTTTCAATTTTATGTTCTGATTTAAAAAATCCCCATAGGGTACAATAACAGACAATAACATAATAACAAGGAGAGAAAAATTATAATTTTTTTTTTTTAATATTTTACATTTTTTTTTTTTTTTTTTTCTCTCTCTCTACAATTATATTTTATTTAATAGGGCTATACGGACGTAATCCTTGTAGGTAAATGGTAGTAGAAATGGAGATTTTACAAAAAAAAAAAAAAAAATTCTTTGAAAATGTGTTTACAAACAACAAATTTTGGATAACATTTTCGACTGCATAAAGAAGATGCGGCACGAGTTTGTGCTACACCATTTATCATAGTTAGCAGCTCCAGCTCCGTATCAAGGTCATGATCAATATGTCACTAGCATCAATATCGTCACCCAACTATAATAAAATTATTTATTAGTTTTATTATTATTATTCATAGTAGGAACATTCATTAGTACATAACCAGTAGCCACAATGATACAACTCAGAACAATTCTCAGAAATTAACAGCATCACTCGACGAACACAAATTAACAACATCCCACTCAACAAACATTTATTTAACCCAACCATTCCATGCAATGCAGGACACTACCCATCCAAACTAGGGTTGTGGCAACCCCACCGTGGAGGCTGGTTGCGGTGGTGAACTTACTGTCGGCGGTGACCTGGGGTTCTTCCTCACATATTTTCTGGCCCAAACATGTTTCCCATTGATGGTGAACTTGGCTTTCATTTGACCATGGAGGACAACATCAATGATGGGAACATAACGACACACAACGCGAGCGTATAGTACTTGTTCATCCTGCTGCACTTCTTGCATATGAATGACTTCAATAAAATCTCCAAATTTTCTGTCAAAACCGTTCCTCCATATATTAATCACACAATCGTCAAATAAAATGAGAGTGAAAAAAAAAAAAAAATTAAAAAATTAATGCATTTTACTCCTATATACACACACACACACACACACACACTAAATATACGCATATATAGAGAAGAGAAGAGAGGGAGATTACCCAGTGAAGAAGTCTCTAACTTCAGTTTCGGATATTGGGTACCCTTTGGAAAATGTCAAGAAGATTGTCCTATCATCTTGTGGGACTTCCTTCTCTTCCACAGGAACAGAGAGGCTAAGACGGCTCAACCGATCACCCAACTCACTGTTCAAGAACTGGCGCTGCATCGCGAGATCGTAAGGATCATAAGCGTGCACCATGTGATTAGGATCATAACTCGGCCAAAACTGCTTATGATCGAGTACTGCTCCCTCATTTTCCAAGTCTAAATGTAATGGCGCCATTAGAAGGGACTGATAGTAACCCATCGGTACTATAGTCACATTCGGCACCACGTTCTTCTCATTATTTCCAGAACTACTGCTCGATTCACCAACCATGTGTGTATTGAAAAGAGACTTGATTCGAAAAATTCTTCTCAATATGTCGTCGAAAGCTCTTGCACATACCTCATTCATGATCTTTGTCACTCCACGAAGAATGGTAAGCCTGTTTTCGTGAAAGTATTGAATAGCAACACTCTTTCTTAATAAAGCTTTTAGTGTAGGGATGTCATTTCCCTCCGGATCAGTGGGAAAGTTATCTGTCTCTATACATTTCAAGCACGTTACTGTCTCATCGGCAACGGCGTTAATAAAAGGCACCGGAGTTGACAGCAGTTTCTTGACCAGACGCGATTCGTAGCCGGCCCTTTCAAGCCACAACCAAAGTGCCATGACTTGCATGGACTCGGCAGGGTCCCGGCATAGGTAAAAGATTAAAATGGAGTATAATTCGCGGTCGATGGAGTGAAATAGGTTGAAGTCTTCATCGCTGATTGCAGGACTTGAAGATGATGAAGACGAGGAAGTTGAAAAAAGCATTGTGTATATATATATATATATATAAATAGTTGTGTGTGAATACTCGTGTATACGTTGTTGGGTAGTTTTGCACGAAGAATTAATGATTTGAAATATATATATAGTGATGAATGGCTATCGTGTGGAACTTGAGACGCGACTGTTGGGAGTGAAGCAACATGAGAGAGAAGGTGCCATTGATGCAGAATATAAGGAAAGTATGAGAATTTTATTTATCAGGTTTCTAGACGCAACCGTTCGACTATGTGTAGTTTTTAACTTACAAAAAGTTTGTGAGTCTACGATTTGCCTCGTTATAATGTGGACCATTATTTATAAATAATACTAATGCTGACATGATAAAACTTCGTGAAAAAATGATAGATGTTTAGATTATAAATCAGAAGCGACGATTGAATATAGATTTATTTTATTTTTTATTTTACAGATGAATATTCAAGAAAAACATTTGTGATATAAAACCAGGTTATTTGAAATTTTATTTAGATGGATCCATCAGAGTCCACCCTTGAATCTGTCAGTATCTAAAGGTTCACACCACATCAAAATTCTTCTCTCTTTATCGGTGAGAGAGTGCATATTCTAAGATGTATGCTTTTATCTATTCATGTAACAAATATATATACTATTATAAAAATATAATATGGACCCAATATTGATGGATAATAAAATTTATAATACAAACACTGCTAAATTTTATTGAAATGCTTGTGTTACTACCATCTCTATTTATAGGAGAAGATCTATCATTACATTTAGGAGCTAATATTTTAAAATTTGAAAATTTTAGAACACTCTTGTATGTATTAAGATATTTATAAGGTTATTATATAATTTTAGAATGTTTTAGATAATGTTAAACCCAACATAAATCACTCTAAACAATTTGTAAGTGCTTATAAAAAGTATTACATCTGTTTTAAAACAAACGTTCTATTTTAAGAATCGTGACTTACAAATTTTGAGACAGAAAGAATACTAGAAAATACGACTTGCAAAGCACGTTTTAAGAATGGAGGTGTAAAAATATATATATATATATATATATATATATATATTTATCTATATATAAATTCACAAAGATTTAAGTAAATAGAGAAGGAAGAGAAGCTAACCTTCCCATCTTTTTGAGGTGGGTAATTAGACCCAAAAAAAAAAAAAAAAATATATATATATAAATAAATAAAATTACTAAAACATCCTACATCATTGGGCATTAATGTAATTTCAAAAACTACCCCACACCTTCTCTCCCTCGGTCTCTCTTTCTCAACGCTGTGTAGGTTATTATATCAACCCATTGAATTCGAATAAAAAAAATCATGGACATACATGGTAGATAGAAAATATCACCTAATTGTTTAAATTTTTTAGTCAAAGGGGCAAGTGTCTAGCCGTTAGTCTACCATAGAATCAAATCTGGCTTTTAATTTGGTGTCATGCCAAACACATATTTGATATATGAATGATTTAAAAAATACTAATTATAAATGATGTATTAATTTGTTATTGGGCAAATTGTATAAAACCCCTTCACTTTTAATTTTTGGCAAGAAACTTCTTAAAAAAAAAATTAACACATTTTTTTTTTCTTATTATCTAATGAGAAAACTACATTTAAGTAAGCTTAAGAGTCCTAAATTAGAAAGTAGTCAAGTTTTAAAGTTTAATTTTCACTTTAATTGAATTAGGCAAAATAATTACATATGCATTGAGAAAAATTATTCAGGTTTAAAATGACCTCAATCTCTTATTCTAAAATATCAAATTGTTTACTTAAATTAAATAATCCCTTCACTAAACTTTAAAAATAAACCATTTTGTAATTTAGAACTCCTCATTCTACTTGAGCGTAGTTTTTTCTTATCTAATTTGTTGCAAAGTGAGTTATAATGACACAAATGCCCTTCAATATAAATTAAAAATTTATTTTTGATTTTTTCCTTTTTAATTTTTAACAAAAAAATTAAGAATATATATATATATATTTTAAATACACACCATTAAAGTGAAATTATAATACGAAAATGCTCCTTAATGTAAATTTAGGTTGTCATAAAATGATTATCCTTTTAGGTTTTCTTTTTCTTTTGAATTTTTTTTAATTAAAAAAGTAAAAAAAAAAAAAAAAAATTATGCCAAGGTATTCTCATTTTCTTTTTTATAGATGTACCATTAAGAAAAATTGTAATTTTTATGAATTTTAATTTTATATTAAGAGAGAAATATTTTCTTAAATTTATACTAAAGGCTTTTATGTCAAAATAATATTACTCCGACTTTGCAACAAATTAGATACTTACACAAATTTTATGTTAACTACTGAGTTTCTTGCTATAAATTGAAACTAGATGAGAGTTTTATGACATTTATCCAATTTGCCCTTTGTTGTATTCAAAAGTGAGTCTTTTTTTTTTTTTTTTTTGTATAAAGTGTTTCTCTCTTTTTTATTTTATTTTGTTTTTGTGCCTCAATAGTAATTTCCTGTGATGATTTGTGTCATTTGCGAATTCTAGATACAAAAAGTGTGTGTATATATATATATATATTATATGACTTTTGAAAACTAAACGACTTGTTGAATAAGTCAATCTTTTGAAGTTAATTAATAAAAAATTCATCATAAAAGAGGTATACTCTAAAAAGAATAATAGTTCAAACAATTAAAAAATACTGTACAAAAGTAATAATAATAATAATACAGTAATAAAAAAAGGGTCCTGCACTTTTGGGCGTTTTCCCCGCCTCACGAAGAAGGCAATAGGGGGCACTCGTGTGAGAAATCAGTTAGTTGACCTGCTAAAATTCTGCAACTTTTCAGTCGGATCTGAATCCTTACGGTTACTCAAATCCAACTTTTTTCCATCATCTAAACAACATTTTCCATTCATTCCATGCATATACCACATCCAACACATTTCTAAATCCCACGAATCAAGAATCAAATTAAATTCAAAGAGTACCCACAATTTACACCCCCATCATTTACCGGTTAAATTCATCTCCACCGCCGGTGTGCCATGTCACTCCGGCGAACTCGGGTTCTTTCTCATACATGCCCATTTAAGGTAAGATTCAATCTCAATTTTATCTCAATTACCATATAATACTTGAACCTGTTTCTAGTTAGCTTTGTTTAGATTTGTGTTATGTTCATTAAACAGTGGTTTCTACCACTTTACCATGAAATTATTTGGGCGGAAGAGACACTATTGGAATACAAACTTGGTGGATAGTTTAAACTCGTGAATTACACACTCTTAACAAATTAAAAAAATACAGTTAGCATATATATGTATATATCATAGACAAAATACTGATTTTGGTAGGGAAATATATACATTTATATATTTATATATTCTGATTTTGTTCTTGTTGCAATAAATTGGTTTCCAAGGCCAAATTATTATTAATTTCTTTTATAAGATTCCAAGTTTTGTAATTAAATTCCCAGGGATTGACTCAAGTAGTAAGAACTTGGCCTGTGCCTCAAGAAGCATCAGGTCTAAGGTTCAAATTCTCTTGGGTGCAAACAATTCCTCGAGAAGGGGTGTGAGTATCAACTAGGAAAAAAACAAAAAAATTTGTAATTAGGTTGAATTATAGCATTTTTTGTATATTGCTCCGTTTAATAAACAAAATACTGATTTGGGTAGAGAAATATATATATGTATATGTATATATATATTCCTATTTTTTTGTTGTTGCAAGAAGTTGGTTTCCAAGGTCACATTTTTACTTGGATAAGATTCCAAGTTTTACTCTACATTCTGTTGAAGAGGATGGTTATATTTTATGAATTTTGATTAATTTTATCAGACAACCGAAGGGGCTTTTAAGTTATATATATTATTCCACTATGCTAATAGGGTTGGGCCTCCTGTGACAGATTCTAATTTTTTACACAACCTTGGAATGCCACATTGTTCTACTCATTCTGTTGAGGAAGATGGCGATATTTTTGTGAATTTATGATCAACTTTTACCACAAATATACTAACTTGTTTAGCCAGTTCATCCTTGTTTGATTGTATGATAATAATAATTTAATGATATTGAGTTTATTCAACACTTTGTTCCTCCACCCCAAATAAATACAACTATAGTTGTTTATTGCTTACTGCTAGGTTGTTTTCATTTTTATTTATTTTAAATAATAAAATAAAATAAAGAGCATAACCAATGGCTCACAGGATAAGGTTTCTTATTGGTATTTCTATTAATTGGTCTCACTTTTCACATGATCTTCTCATTTTTTTCTGATTCCATATATATATATATATATATATATATATATATATATATATATAATTTTTATCTTTGAGTTCTTGCAGTGCTGGAGCACAATGGATTAAGACGTTTAATAGAACACAAATAGAGGGAATATTACAATCAAGAAGAAAGCTTTATGCAGAACTACAGTAATTTGGAGTAAAGAGGCATTGTATTTTGGTTCCTTTCGAATTTCAAATATTATCCTGCACCTAACATCATCAGTATTAGCAAATTAATGGTTCTCGTTGTGGTTTCTCTAAGTTGTTAGTGAAGTTCAGAATCTCTCTATGATGGAAGTCACTAACGGGTACATGTCAAATGAGCATCAGGAGCAACTTCGATCAACCTCAGAAAGTGCGGATCCATTATCTGTTTCTCCATTAAAGATCTCCTCATCCCCAAAGTCTCCAAGATCCCCAAAGTCACCACAATCCCCGAAATCTTCAAGGTCCCCAAAGGGTCATGATCATAGTAAGCATGGCACGAACAAGGGCAGCCCACTTAAGAATTACAGGCATTCACATTCTGGAAGAGATGGCCGCCCTAAAAAAGGCAATGCATTACTCCTAATAATCTTTACAGCACTGGAGTTATTTCTTGTTTGAGACCAAAAAAGATGCTTTTTGTCTAATAATTAGAAACAATTAAAACCGTGATATAGAGTATGAAAACAAATAATTGGTAGTTATGGTTGTTAAGAATCTGCCAAAATCTATTTGTCTTGGGTAAAAATGATGCCACAGCTTAAGAAACAGGTCAGTTTCGCATTCTGTCTTTCATGGGCAATATGTTTTGTGGTCAAGTACTTGCATTAAGTACTTGCTGAACTTTTAAACTCAAATATTTTGTGGTTTATTGCTCATTGTGCATAACTATTATCATTATGCAGGTGGTTCTGGGGGAAAAGGAACTTGGGGTGGGTTACTTGATACGGATGACCAATATGTCCCCCTTGACCCCAACGACCCAAACTACACCAGCAATGAGGTATGTAATTAAGATCTCTTGATTTTTTTTTTTTTTTCTTTAAATGAATCAACATCATTTTTTTGTTTTTGTTTGGAAGACTTATGTTATTGTTGTCACCATGAATTATCTTTTCTCAAGAGAGGGAAAGCTGTTGGTTTTAAATTTTGAAGTTTTAATCTTATTAAAGCTCCTTGCTAATATCGATGGATCCCAAAATGAAATTAATTTTTGGTTGCAGGAAAAGGAACAATTAAGTGCAAGAAAATCGAGTGCAACATTTGAGGAGTATAAAAAGAAAGCTACAATAATTGCAGAGGAATACTTCAACACTGATGATGTTATCTCAACTGCCAATGAATTAAGAGAACTAGGAATGCCAAGCTATAACTATTATTTTGTTAAGAAGCTTATTTCTATGGCTATGGATAAGCATGACAAAGAGAAAGAAATGGCCGCCGTTCTGTTATCATCACTTTATGCTGATATCATTGATCCACCACAAGTATACAAAGGTTTCAGAAAACTAGTGGAATCTGCAGATGACTTTATCGTAGATATACCAGATACAGTTGATGTTCTTGCACTGTTTATAGCTCGAGGTGTGGTTGATGACATACTTCCTCCTGCTTTTTTGACAAAAGAAATTGCCTCCTTACCCAATGATTCAAAGGGAGTTGATGTCATTAAAAGAGCTGAGAAGGGCTATTTATCGGCCCCTCTTCATGCAGAAATCATTGAGCGCCGTTGGGCTGGAGGCAAGAACAAAACTGTTGAAGATGTGAAAGGAAAGATAAATAATTTGCTGATAGAGTATGTAATGAGTGATGACAGGAAAGAGGCTTGCAGGTGCATTAAGGATTTGAATGTTCCATTCTTCCATCACGAGATAGTGAAACGGGCTATTATAATGGCCATGGAAAGGCAGCAAGCTGAATGCCAGCTTTTGGATTTGTTGAAGACGGCTGCTGAAGAAGGTTTGATCAATTCAAGTCAGATATCAAAGGGATTTGGACGGATTATTGACAATGTCGATGACTTATCGCTTGACATCCCAAATGCAAGGAGGATATTGCAGTCCTTGATCTCCAAGGCAGCATCAGAGGGGTGGTTGTGTGCCTCATCTTTGAAGTCACTGTCCCTACAGACTGGAAAATCATCGTCATTAGAAGATAGTGCCGCAAAATCCTTCAAGATGAAGGCTCAATTCATAGTTCAGGAGTACTTTTTGTCTGGTGATGTTTCAGAGGTAATTCATTGTCTAGAATCAGAGACCTCTTCTAATTCCTTGGCCGAATTGAATGCTATATTTGTTAAGAAACTGATAATTCTAGCGATGGATCGAAAAAATAGAGAGAAAGAAATGGCTTCTATTTTGTTGTCATCCTTGTGTTTTCCAGCTGATGATGTCGTAAATGGCTTCATCTTGCTGCTAGAATCTGCAGAAGACACTGTTCTGGATATTCCAGTTGTTGTTGATGATCTTGCGATGTTTTTAGCAAGAGCAGTGGTGGATGAAGTCCTTGCCCCGCTGCACTTGGAAGAGATTAGGAGTCAGTGTTTGGGACCAGACTCAGTTGGGAGCAAAGTGCTTCAAATGGCAAATTCACTGCTAAAGGCTCGACTTTCTGGAGAACGAATATTAAGGTGTTGGGGTGGTGGAGGGAGCAGCAGCAGCAGCAGGAACGGATGGGCAATTGAGGATGTCAAGGACAAGATCGGAAAGATTTTAGAGGAGTTTGAGTCTGGGGGGGATATGAAGGAAGCTTGTCGGTGCATAAAGGAGTTAAGCATGCCATTTTTCCACCATGAGATTGTTAAGAAATCATTGGTGACAGTTATGGAGAAGAAGAATGATAGATTGTGGGGTTTGCTTCAGGAGTGTTTTAGCATTGGACTCATTACGATGAATCAAATGATGAAGGGTTTTGGAAGAGTGGCAGAATCTCTTGATGACTTGGCTTTGGACGTGCCTGATGCAGAGCAACAATTTACACGTTATGTTGACTGGGCCAAGACTGAAGGGTGGTTGGATTTATCATTTTGTTTCACCAGATCAGGACATGCAGTGGAGAATGGCTCTTGTTCATGATGCAGAGGTGCACTCTGATATCTGAATTTTGTCTGCCTAAAGAAACAAAGAAGTAAGTAGAATGTGGAAAAACTAGGATAGGATTTGGGAGAGAAATTTCTTGGGTGGAATTATTCTTTAGCTTGCTAATTCATTTTTTTGGAATATACAATATTGTTATATAGATTGACATTGCGCCATATGTACTGTACTCTTGCAGCCATCTTTAGGTTTAATTTTATCGGTGTGCTGGTTTTTTGCTTAATCTCATTATGTAGTTGTTATCGGTAACATGTGCATTGGAATCCGTTTCATCATCAATAGCTGAAAAGTTGTAGCTCTCTCAAACTTGTGTTCACTAAAGTTTATCTCCCTGTATTCCCTTGACCTCCTTCAACATCTTTAAAGCACACTAAACATGATCACTAGGCCAGGACTTGAAATAGGTACAACAGAGGTAAATGGCAAGTAGAATTTGAACATCTGGTGCCAATTAATTTTCTCCTTCTGGGTGAAGCAAAGTCATAGTGAACTTCTTATTGTTGTCTTTTCTGCCACCCTGAATATTTCATATCTTTCATGATTAATGACAAGCTTGAAATTGCTGAAGAAAATCGATCCATGGTCACGAGTCTCGCATAAATAAGCATTTCTGAAAGTTTAGATTTGTACTTCGCATTCCTTTATAAAGGGCTTGGATCAGGCTTCGTTTTTGTTACTCTTTTCACTTGTTCCCTTAAGTTATTGCATCTATGCATGATTTGCATACCTTAAGATTATTGCAGACAAAATCATATTTTTGATATAATTTTAGTGTCAGAAGAAATGTATTGGATAGTTTATGACTTATGAGGATTTAGTGGTCATGGCAAAGGCAAAGGTGCTAGTAGAAGCAGTGGGACTGGCAGTGGTGAAATTGAAAACAATGTGAGTCCTAATCCAGTGGTATAGCTGTGTAAGTCAGTCCTTTAGATGGAGACTGCGGTGGGGATTTTGGTGTTAGTGATACTAAGTTTATCGCCAGTGGTTTGCACTGGAGGAGATGATAGCTGCTGAAATCATCTAGGCAATCATGGTCATGGCCGGTTTCACTGGAGATGTGGTAGCGGCTGCTCCATAGATGGTTTTTTTTCCTGAGATGTTATTTTAACTGTGCCTAGTTTTGGATCCACTGCAATATTGGTTCCGCATAGGAGATTTTCAACGTAAATATTCTTAGTTTCGATATTCTTTACTTGACCAAAAAGAAAATTTTTTTTTGAATGAATTTTAGTGCTCTTGAGATTTTGACAATCTGATTGAAAATTTTACTTCAATATTTACTAGAAATTTTATGCAGTCTTGAACAGCAGTGCATAATGAAACACTTTCTGTTATTTGACCGTGTTTGTCTTTTTCATTGTAGATTCGGATTAATTCTTATGGAATGCATGTTCAATTACTAGTGTGCTTGTTGATGTTTGAGTTGTAAGAGTTGAGATTTTCACTTAAAATTAGTACTGTTAAGTTGAGATAATGCTCAAGGACAGAATTTGATTTAGTACAGCTATTTTGTTTCTGATTTAGTATTTATTTATTTATTTTAAACTGGAATCAGGTGGCAAGGTCATCTTTGGGAGAAGTTTGAGGTGGTGGCACTCCGCTTGCCAGAGGGGAAGGTACAGTGGATTCTTGATGTTAAAATCCGGAGAAAATGAAGAACGGTTTCTTAGCATATTCTGTTCCGATGACAATTTTGGTCTGATTTGAGTACTGAAAATTATTGTAGTGATGAAGCTAAATCCATGCTTCTAGTGTTGAACAAATTATTGATGTTCTTTGATCTTTGCATCCTTTGATCAAAGATGGATTTGTTTTATTATATGAGAATTCTGTGCTTAGTCCACAGCATGTATGTTTTGTGCTAAACATGCTCTTAAATAAGATGTGATATACTCCTATCTTGCTGAAATGCTTATAATGCATGGTAGGAACTACATGGAGGTTCCAGTGTGCTCCGTAAAACATTTTTTGGGAATTTTTTTCCTTTCCTTTTTATGATTTTTTCATTTTTATTTTTTATATTTAGATTTCATAGGTGTATAACTGCAAAATAAGAAAAATACTAGTGTTTATTGGTAAAAAAAAAATAAAAAATTTAGGGGGGTAATTGCCCCTGCTTCCTCTTTAAGTCTATCCCGGGTCTAGGTAGTGTAAAATAACTTGTCTAATTTGTCGAAAATTGATGGGTAAATTATTTTTGATAGGTTTTAATATTTTTTGACAACTTACAACTAAACACCAAAAAAAAAAAAAAAAATTTTCTAAAATTTAGTTTACAAACAAACAGAGCTACGGTGGAGGTTAAAATGTTTACTTTGTTAGAGCTAGGCTAAAAATATTTGTTGAATGATCATTTCCCATATTTATCTTTTTGATGCATAAAAAGATTCATTCAGCTCTCCATATAAAAGGCATGAATAGTGTTGTCTGGAGAATTTATCTTAAAGGTTGTTGTTGTAGGGGATCAAGCCCCTAATGCCACTTGGTATATCTGACGACACCAAAGTCCACTCGAGGCGGGTACTTTGGCAAACTGAAGGACAAGGAGTCCACGCGCCTCAACCGAGACACTGGCAATCGCATTTATGAGCTTCAGCTACCGCCGCCTTCGAAAGGATAGGCATTTAATGTAATAGTAATTAGCCTCAAGGTAAAAAGACTAGGATATCTCTATTATATCTAGCATAGCCATCATTGCTACCTTACTGGAAGTCTCGAGGGACTTCTGTACTCGTGTAAGGGCCTGGGCCTATAAATAAGGGCTGAAGCTCCTAATCACCAGAGATTCCATTGTTTGTATTTAGATATCTTCCCATTTATTAAATAATATCGATTTCCATTAAAAAACCCCCACAATTTGGCGACTCCGCTGGGGATGTCAGTACAGAGCCAATGGATCTGAACAATCACCTGGAGCAATCTTAGCATTTCGAGCAGGATAAAGCTTCTAGTTACGGAGATGCCAAGACGATAACTAGTCGAGACCAGTCGACGTACGCAGGACCACACATGTCCACATCGCAGTCCCTACAACAGACTCAGCGAGATTTAGGAGAGCGCCTGGCTAACATAGAAACCATGTTACTACAAGATTTTCAGTTGAAGTGTGACGACCCTGGATTTTTCAACCCAGTGTGTTCTATGATGACCCGAAGCGGATCCATAATACGGAAGCAAAACAAAAACAAGTCCTTAGAGATGTACGTCATCCCTAAGACACAAGAATGGCCCTTCGAGGAAATTCGAGACTCAACGGAAGCAAAACGGAGACAAGGGTATCAAAACCCTACCAAAAGAATGACCAAGGGTAAAATGGTCATTTTACCCTAAAAGGAAGGAATTTGACTTCCAACAAGTCAAATGAGATAAAAAAAACATTCAAAAACATCATTTGGTAACTTCATATGAAGTCCCAAGGCTAAAGGAAGTGAAATCCCAAATGAACCCTATCTTGGTTCTAATCAAATCTGACACCCTCTCACTAAAATAAGGATATCTTGAGATAGGAGAAGAATCTGAAATTGAAATTGGTACCATTGGAAAGTTTACTTCGACGTGGTCAATTTAGACTCAAGAACGGACCAATTCGGAGTTGAAACGAAGAAGTTACGGCAGTTCAAAGTTGGAATGCCAAAGTTGAACCTGCAAACAGGTTCTGGAAGACTTGAACCGATTCAACCCCCCTTGAACCGGTTCAACATGGACAGAACATCCATGCTGGACCAAAATCACATCTTGAACCCAAACAGTAGAAAGAGTGAAATTGTAGAAAAATGAGTTTGGAACGCGGTTTTCAAGACCAAGATGACATTTTTCGAAAAAATGTCGTGGAGAAACTCCCCCTGAAATCACATTTTCTATGTGATGGAGTTGAGACCGGAAATTATTTTCCAAAGGAAATCCCCAAATTGCCCTTAAGCTGAATTTTTCAACAAAAATGTGAAATGAGTCCATAGAAGGCTCATTTTACCAACGAAAGGGTTTTTTCATGAAAACGATCATGCACGCAAACGTAAATAGTGATTTTGAGCGCGCAGGAATGGTCCACAGCTCCCGGAAATGGCCGAGTCAAAATCCGACCCCCCGACGGCCAAAAAGATGAAAATAAACTTGAAATAGAAATTTTGAAATCCAAAATTATGAAATGCTTTCAAATTATCATTTGGCCCTTGGACACACTTCATGCATGATAAATAAGACCCTATGAAAGAATGAAAATGGAATTCCCACACCCGATGCAAACATGGTGAGACAATGACTTGTGATTTTTCAATATTTTCATAAAATTTCATGAAATCAAAATTTACATTGGATACAAAATACATGTTATTGGCCTCCGGCCTCATCTCATACATGTCAAATACAATACAAAAGGTGTACTTATGTAAACATTACATATATGAAATCAAATCTACACATTTTGACATAAAAGGCTATAGGTGGCATTTCAAGCCAACCTTTACAAGAGTCATGAACAAGAATACACTTAAAGAACTTCAATTCATCGAAACGATCCCGGGATATTGTGCATCCCAAACCAAGGCATTCATACCTGACAAATCACCTGGTAACTTTGGGGTGAGTAAACAAGTTTACTCGTAGGGAATGAGCATACAAAGACTCAACTTTTTACAGATTTTTACATTAACATGAAACAATTCGAAAGGGACATGCCACCTAACGTCTATGTCAAAAGTGAGACTCAGGGATCATCTCAAGCTACATTAGCAATTGAAATGAACTACGACATACAAGTATACATGCTCAAGTATACTAAACAATGTCAAAGCATGTTATACGATATTCAAGCATATATTTTCAAGTATACTAAACCATATTAAAACAAGTTATGCAACATCCAAGCATATCTACTCAAGTATACATTTAATATGAAAAACTCGTAAATCGAGTACACAAACACAAGTATACCAAACTAATAGGATTTCGCATGTGACAAGTATACATAACACAAGTATACTAAATAAAATTTAAACTCATGGAGCAAGTATACAAGCTCAAGTATACTAAACAGGATTCAAATATCCAAGTAAGCATTAATTCTCAAGCTACAAGTAATCCATGATTAACAATTTGAAATTAAATGCGAAATCAAATAGTGGAAAGATTAGGACATGCGGTCACTAGACCAAGCAAGTATTTTCGGGTAATTACGACCCACAAGGTACCACTTAGTACGCATTTATGACTTAGAAGACTCTTATCTTCGTATTAGAACCAAACCCTAGCTATCACGTAATTTATGTCCTCACAAGCTTTCCAAAATCAATAAGTTCAAAACTTATACAAAATCAAATGCAAGTTACCACATTCCATACACAAGTAAGGTTGAATCCACACAAACCGTGTCCTAAAATTCAGGTTTAAATAGTATATGACATGTCAAGTCTTCAATATGCAATTATATACAAAACAAGAATATCTTACAACAATTGATCCAAATTACCATCTTAAGCCACAAATACTAAATAAGCTACAATTTAGTAACAAGCCTTCAAGGTAATCAATTGTAATATTCTGAACAAGCTATATACCTACACAAGAAATATTTAAACAAGCTATTCAAGACAATGATATCACATATCATGCTCAGTCAAATTACCATCTTAAAAGGCCATAGGTACTAATTCTACAGCAAGTTAGTAGCATGCTCACAAGGTAATTAAACATATTATATTTCATGAGACTATCAACCTAACATGAAAAGTCTCTAGATTTCAAATCGATTCCAAATAACCTCAAATTGATATATGTTAAACAACATAGCATGGTTATTACATATATCCCATCAAAAGTGCAAAATGAGCAAGACATTATCATGTAGAATTTAATTAATTAAATCTCTATATTTCAAAAGTTATTCAAATGATCCCGAATAAATATATATCAAGGACTAAGTCATGGCCATGCCATATATCAAGTCAAAAATGGAATACAAACAATGTACAATAAAGTAGAATTTAAATCAAATTAAATTCATTAAATTTCTAGATTTCAAAACTCATTTAAATCATCCCAATTTAATATATAACAAAGATCAAGTCATGGCCATGCCATATACCAAGTCTAAAATGAGTTATATGCAAGTTATGATAAATCATTAATTTCTCAAATTAATATAAAACGTGCATACAACTTATATTTCATTACAAAAGCAAGCAAAAACCTTTAGATAATAAACTATAACACCTCCTACCTCAATAGAGAATTGAATCTCTATAATCCTAAGTAACCAAACTCAAAAATGGAAAACAAAACAAGGGTTTTGAAGAGGAGAGTGAGAGGAAACTTTTGTCTATCAAGGTTAATGGTCCAAGGTGAGTGGAAGGAGGCCAAAATGAAGAAATAAGCTATTAACCAAGCTTTTCTCCAATGGTGGCTAGGTTAGGGTTTTGAAGAACAAGGAAATGAAAAAGATGAAAGTGAAAAAATAGTGAGTGGAGGATCTAGTAATCCTCCACTCACTATGTGCTCTTGCACTACCTTTCTCACACACACAATGCAAGACCAATTTGTGAGCCTACACTTGTCACAAATCAATGGATCCTTTCTAGGCTTAATCTTAAGCCTACACTTGTCAACTATCTAAGCCAACAAGTGCACCAATCCTAGGCCAAGAAGTGGTTGAATCTCCACCCTCCAAATGTCATCATCCAAGGCACCTAAGTGTCCCCACACAAATGTCAACAAGTGGACCAATGAGAGTGTGACACTTTTCACACTTTTCGAAAATTACAAAAAGGTCTTTTTGAAAATATCTTCCAAATTAAATTACAAAATGGTCCCTAAGACGAAAAATAATTACTTATAGTAATTACACTAAAATCCCAAAAGAAAGAAAAATTTCAAGAAGTGTGCATCCACACCTCTAAGGAAGAAAGTACACAACTA